TGAAACACTTTGACGAAAACTTTGACATTTTGAAAAACTTTGACGAAAACTCTGACACTTTGAGAAACTTTGGCGAAAACTTAGACACTTTGAAAAAAACTTTATCGAAAACTTTGATACTTCGAAAAACCTTATCGAAAACTTTGACACTTTGAAAAACTTTATCGAAAACTTGGATACTTTAACACTTTGAAAAACTTTGGTGAAAACTTTGACACTTTAAAAAAATTTTGCAAATTATTTGACACTTTGAAAAACTTTGGCGAAAACTTTGACACTTTTAAAAACTTTATCGAAAACTTGGATACTTTAACACTTTCAAAAACTTTGGCGAAAACTTCGACACTTTAAAAAAATTTGGCAAATTATTTGACACTTTGAAAAAATTATTACCGGATTTAAAGTAAAACAGTATGAAGAAAAATTCAATAGAACATTCAAGAACTAAAAAAGATGTGGACTTCTAAATACCCCCATCAGAGCGGAAAGAGATGCTCGGTACACCTTCAGTGTCATTTTAAAACCATATTCCAAGCTTTCACTCTAATGACTAATATCGTAAGTGAAAATGTAACTCAGAGGAAAAATGTTTTGGCAGTTTTCTGTGGGTATAAACTATGTAAGAAAGACGCACACCTACGAATCAAAAGAAAGGAAGTTACCTGCCCAGGACACGACGACTGCACTGCAACCATTCCTCTTGAGACCACCATTGGAGATGAGACGAGATGAGCTGCAAATTGTGTTTATGAGTTACAAAGTGATGACGGTCAACTAGTCATATTCCATTTCACAAGTGATGGAGACAGTGCCATTGCATCTGGAGCAACTGAAAAATTGAAAACCTTAAGGACTTGCGTCACTTCTTTGACTCTCAACGAAAACAGACTGCCAAGGATCCATTCAGCAGTCACATGTTTCCGGGAAGAACCAAGGCCATAGGAGAATAAATGCAGAGAAGATTTGCGTTGGACCTGAAGCTTCGATGCAGGACAGAGTACGAGAATTGCTACAAACACTACTGCGTAGACTTACCTTTGATGAAGCGTGCTGTGTCTACTGGGGTTGGTTCCCTCATAAACTGCTACTAGGGACAGTAGGGGTTATGGAAACTCAACACTGGAACTTTGTGAATCTATTGGGGCACCAGTTGTAAAAGGAAATAGAGTGGTCCATTATCTAAAACAACTACAAAAAAACAAAATTACTTTTAAATAAAATAAAAACTGTTAAAATATAAATTCAAAGAAAATAATACAGATCTAAAATATATCAGCTGTACGGAAAAATCTAAATACGCTTACAGTAAATCATTAACAAAATCTAAAATTAAAAAGGAAATTATAAGACTGTTACAAGGGAGGGGGATATGTACATTTCAAATGTATGAAATTTGTATTTCAAATATATTCTATGAACTATTTTACATACAATAATTGTTTCTATGGTTCACTATGCACTGTTCAATTGTATAAATGAAGAAACTGTGGACATGTAAATAATGTATTATTGTATGTGTAAAATGTGACATTTTCTTATAGAAGAGATCTAGAGTCAGTACATGTAAAAATGTAACGTTTTTTATTATTTAGCTCATCAAAGTTATTTAAATTAAAAACCTTGTTTTTCTTACCTGTGTGATAAACACAACAAAGGTTACAGAGGTGATTGCATGGTATAAATACGGGTATACAGGTTTCAAAACTATCCGTTGATGACCAGAGTGCATGCCGCATTGTTTATTCGCCATTATTTATCTTTTAAAGGGGAGACAATTACTGAAATCAGAGAAACTGTAGTGAAAATGAGAGTTACCTTTCCCTCTTTAGGTCTCACATAAGGAAATAATTTCACTCTATATTACTATATAGCTTGAATTAGATTATGTAATTAATTATACTTTCAGCAGAAAATTCATGAAAGAGAAAATTAAGTTTAAAGCTAAAATAAAAAGAACCGCGAAGGATAGTATTGTTCTCGTGCTTACCTCCAAGTCATTTTTCAAAAGTTAACATATTCGATATTTTTTTTTAAAATCTTTATAGATAATTATATCAATTTCATAAAACCTTACTTATTTTGGAAAACAAAGAGAAATAATACTAAACTTTTAGTAAAACTTGTGTTTTTCACTATAGAAATCAACGGAAAACGGAAAGTATTTTTAAAACATCCCCCGTCACACAAAAATTCCTTTTTACAGATACACAGGTAATATGGGCTGTTATTTCACAGATTCGTACCAACGCGTTTTGTGTTTTACGGGGGGGGGAGGGGGGGGGGTGTTTAAACGAAAAAAATACTTGTTTTCCTACAATATCAAAGCTATTTCCAACCGAAACATTATATTTTATTAATATATTTATATTTTTTATGCATTTGTCTAAAACATAAGAAAATATATAAGGAACATTTAATCATATCCAAGACTATTGAACGCCATAGCTGCCTTATGTGGCTATTTTATATTATGCTGTGGTTATTTTATATTATGCTGTGCTTATTTTATATGAAGATGGTGCTCTTTTATTTTATGCTGTGGTTATTTTATATGAAGATGGTGCTCTTTTATATTATGCTGTGGTTATTTTATATGAAGATGGTGCTCTTTTATATTATGCTGTGGTTATTTTATATTATGCTGTGCTTATTTTATATGAAGATGGTGCTCTTTTATATTATGCTGTGCTTATTTTATATGAAGGTGGTGCTCTTTTATGCTGTTCTTATTTTATACGAAGATGGTGCTCTATTATATTATGCTGTGGTTTTTTAATATGGAGGTGGTGCTTTATTATATTGTGCTGTGGTTATTTCATGTGATGGTGTTTTTTTTTAAATACATAGGATTTTCAAAAGTAGATTTTGCCCTTACTAGGTGCCGGGCTCGGTTCACTCTTGATTTTAATCAATATCTACACTTTTTCTACCAGTTTCGGACATAATTTCGGGTGAAATCTACATTTAAAAATCCTTAAATAACGCCCTTCAATAGTCTACCAAATTGAATTTGTCGTATAAAATATGCAGTAAACAAAAACTTCTTGATATTTAGCACTGCAAGTGATAGCAATGGAAGTGACGATTTTAAATATGTAGAATGTTGAGGCGTCCCGGAATGACAGAGACAACAAATCCCTCTAGATTTTCCGAAAATGGCAAATGTCGTACCTATATACAGTAAAACGACATTTTTGAAACGTGCTAATCTTAGACACTGCACCTAGGAAAACATTAATACACAAAATACACCAACCTGAAACCAAGTGCATAACTTATGGAAAAAAGAGGAATTAGCGATAGTCATAGTGTATTTGAATGATTTTAATTACATCAATTACTGGTACTAGTATTTGTTTTACTTTCAACATTTCGAGATAATAGCTGATAAACTCAGTATTAAATCTAATCTTTAAAATATGAGGAATTTCTTGACATGATATATGTATTTGGAAAAAAACCACCATCACATGAAATAACCACAGCACAATATAATAAAGCACCACCTCCATATTAAAAAAACCACAGCATAATATAATAGAGCACCATCTTCGTATAAAATAAGCACAGTATAAAAGAGCACCATCTTCATATAAAAAAACCACAGCATAATATAATGGAGCACCATCTTCGTATAAAATAAGCACAGCATAATATAAAAGAGCAACATCTTCATATAAAATAAGCACAGCATAATATAAAATAAGCACAGCATAATATAAAAGAGCACCATCTTCATATAAAATAAGCACAGCATAATATAAAATAAGCACAGCATAATATAAAATAAGCACAGCATAATATAAAATAAGCACAGCATAATATAAAAGAGCACCATCTTCATATAAAATAACCACAGCATAATATAAAAGAGCACCATCTTCATATAAAATAACCACAGCATAATATAAAATAACCACAGCATAATATAAAATAGCCACATAAGGCAGCTATGGCGTTCCATACAAGACAATTTCAAAATATGATGATGCTTAAAAGTCCGATTTCAATGGAAAATATCGTCTATCCCCTTCTTTTCAAGAACTGGAATTATGGATAGTTTACTATTTAGCGCTGGTAATAAGGCAATTCATCAATTACCATTAAACTGTTCTTTGTATTAAACAAAGATTTTATGGCCAAATTGCAAAATTAAACAAAGATTTTATGGCCAAATTGCCATTATATTTGATTAAATTGGTGCAAAATGTAGACGGAAATCGAGAGATAACGGACGTTTTTCTTTAAGATTAGCAAAATAATGCCATATGCGGCTTTTAAGAAAGAAAATTGACTGTAAACATACCTACCTCAAAATACACCTGGGAGTCACATGTTGACAAACAGCCTACACACCATCCAGGAAGTTGCATCATATGCACCTGAAAAAAGAGTTCCTTTAATTCAGTGGGATAATTCTGCTTAAGATATGATATTCCTAGTACATGAGTGCAAATTTGATACTGTAGGCCTAAAACAAGATGCCGGAAATGGAAAAAAAATTTAAAGAAAGTGTCTCTATATATAAATGGAATTTATTTAATTTAATTTAACTAAGTTCATTTTAATTGTCTGACCATTTTTTTCGTAAGACCTTAAATGATTTGTAAACAAGTTTGTATGAATAAAAATATTGTTTGTCTTATGTTTGAACTGGTATTAATTGAGTCCATCGTGGCTATTAAACCCCGGAACATTTTATGTTTCTGTTTACTGAGTATTCCGAATTTGTACGTCCTTGGACTGTTTTTGTTGATTTATTGCCTCGGGTATTTTTAAATGCATCAAATATCTTCTTTTTTATTTATTCTGAAACATATGCATCTTTGAATTACAAAGAAGTTTGTAAATACTAAAGGTTACAAAAGGTTAAATGACATATGTTTTCAAAATTCAATTAACATATCGTTTGCTATTTGTGAGGTTATTATTTTTAATCACTATTTGTGTTTATTGTTTAGCAGGTGTTTTCGATCGAATTGAAATGAATATCTATAAATGTCAAAACAAAAGGATTTGAACTGGACGGTGGATTCTGACTATCAAAGGGTAATATTTCTACTTCATCGTTATTATTATTATTTAACAACTTCATTCTTACAAACTTCTTTCTAAATAGTTATGCATTATATTCAAATAAATTGAAAAAAAAATTCCGCATGGGGAAAGTGTATTTTCCCCTTCATTTTGAAAAAAAAATGTGCAGCATTTCAAGTCGTATTTTATTTTATTGCCACTCAATTTTAAAAGCTGGTTGTGTTTTCAAACTACTTTGACACGGTGATCCTTTAAAAAACAAAAAAAAATGTACTCTGCATATTCTCGGTTAAATTGGTGTAGATATTTTACTTAAGAATACTCGGCCTTTTATCAACTTTCTGCAATTTCTTTTTCTTGAAGTTAAACGCATACTGTTCATTCATAAACTATACAACAAATCCTCACAAATCAATAAACATTGAAGGGTCAAACTAATTCTCTACTTAACAGCTTAATGCATTTCCTTACATTATTCCTCGCAAAAATATTTAGTGGTATAACAGGAAAAATTTAGTGGTATTCATCTATTAAAGTAATGGTAATCAGAAAGTGAACTCAACTTAAACTTTGAGATTTCTTTTAATACTTATATTTTAAAATTGTCTTTTTTGGGTTAAATCAGAAAGTAATATTTTTTTTACACTTAAAACAACTATTCCTCATATATCCATTACTTATAGATTAAAACCTTGTCTTTCAATATAAAAAAACCTCCTTTTTAAATAAATAATATATTTTCCTATCAGGTAATTGTAGGCCATTCAACTAATTTTTCAAGTTGCACATATGGTAAATAACATTTCATAGATTAGATATATAGGTACATGAAATTATCAAAATAGAAAATAACTTATGCATACCTCTCATTAAATCATTTAACAGTTTTATTATTTATAATTGACTTGTACGATGTTGTGTTTTAAGGACAGGTAACTCTGGTGTGAAAAATGACCAACTACGTGCCGATTTATGAGTTGTCGTTTATAGGAATGACATATAGGCTGCTTCAGCATTGGTATTATGTACACAAAAGGGTTCCTTACATTGTTTTGTACAAAAAAGTGTTGACCAAAAGAAGGAAACTATCTTCACTCTACCTGAAATAACAGGGTCAAATTAATGGAGAACATACTATATTCAATATTTTTAAGTCTCTTTGACGATTGTTAAGAAGCTCGCGAGATGGAAAATAATGTCATTTTTTGCGCTTCCAATATGAATATAAATACTCTTGCAAGTAAATGCAACAATTAATCATCTTATTTGTGTTAATAAACACGAAGAAGAACGACCGAGTATAAATATTTATCTGGTCAGAACTAAGAAGAAGGGTACATGTAGATTTAACTTTTTATCTCATTAAAAATTTTACTTATATGCAATTAAACCGTGTCCACATTTCTATAGTAAATAAGTTTAAAATGAGTTTTAAATTTTAAAACCACTGGATTCTGCTGACAGCCAAAAAAAAAATACACTTAGAAAATGCTAAAAACGGATTTGCCTATCAACAGTTAGATACCTTGGACATGCTCAAAACAAGTTTCATCAACGAGTTATCGTTCATAACAGCGAACCCTAGCGGCAATTGAAAGGCCTAGTAATTGGTCATCAACAAAACTCTTTGTTTAAGATCACTCTCCTTCCTACTTTGAAGTTGATATTAGACTGATACCGGAATACCTCATTGATATCAATGTAGTCTTCAGACATCCCATCCCAGGATCACGAAACAACTAGACTTAAACTTAAATTAAATTTTCAATCGCCTGTTAAATGTTCAAAGTGACAGTAATATGATTCGTCGAAGTATTATCAATTAACAATATCACTACGTCCACTAATATTAATATAGCACTTTGATATATATCTCAGTGAACTTAAAATTAAAGGCGCCACAGATTCTGACACATATGATTCATTTTGGATTTCTTTATAGAAAAAGAATTTTTGCAAATTTTAATGTAACGTGATGTTTTTATCATCGACTTCCTTTACTTATGAAATAACATTCCCTTTTTCATCTGCAGTTGGGGTTTATGTGTCAGAGTTGATTAGAAAGAGATGAGCATGAATTCATAAGAATAATTTGTAAAACATGACGTAATGTTGACAAACAAGTTGATGAAATAAGAATATCATCCATCTCGATTAAGGTCATTCTTTTACAAATGAAGTTCTATATTCTTTTATTAATTCGAAGGACGATCGTCCTGCTAATCGTTAAGCCATTATTTCACACTGAATTGTCTGCGACCTTTTCCCGTTTTTTAATCATGACTCAGAGCACAAAAAATTTAGGAACGGCTAAGAAAAATGGGATACTTACATTGTCATAGCATCGGATCCCATCTCTGATGTTTTGTTCTCCTTGTTTGCTCCTGATTTGTTAGTTTAGATTGACTTTAGCATGAGGAGTTACCATTATCTTTATAATCCGTACGAACTGAAAAATGAAAAGACTTTGGTCAAATTTTAAGAGGACATTAAAATGTATAAAAAAATTTTTTTTTTCAATTTTCATCCATTTTTTTATTTATTGAGCATATAGCTTTATATTAAAGAAATTTGCGTCTATAAAACTCGAATTCCTTTAAAATACATAATTTGTAAAACAAAGTAGATTATAAGTGATATGGTATTAATTTTAAATATTAAACTGTTTATAAACATGTAGTATGTCAAACGTTCTGTCTCAATTCAATGCTATCTGGTCATAAAAAAACCTTAATATTTGATCACGAAATTTCTTAAATGATCTCCTTATGTTTGAAAATATTTTCAATTGATAATACGTATACCAACTAAATATTTTCTACTTCTTTGAAATAATTGAAACCATTTATAGAAATAAGTGCAATTGAAAAACATATTTCTTTTCTTTCATGCTATATCTTGAATGTAATTTTTTATTATTATAGAACCCCCTTACTATTGGTCGCAATCATGCAGATCTTTCTTCTTTTGCTGTTTGTGTTGCTGCTGGTCTTAATTGCTGACCTTCAGGCTGACGTAGGGGATGATGCAGCAAAGGCAACAGAGGTTGTGAAAGCTGGAATTGAGGCAACCAATGCTATAACTGAAATTGTGTCGGACGTCAAGAAGTTTGCTAAATTCTCTAAAGTAATGGGTAAAGTTGCTCCGTTTTTGGCTCTTATTGGACCAGTTATGGATATCATAACCATATTTCTCCCGAAACAAGAGGATCCAACCTTGACCTACTTAAAAGAACAGTTTTCGAAAGTAGATTCAAATTTCAGAAATATGGAAAGGCTTTTTACCGAAGTAACAAACCTCATTAAATCAAAGGGTCTCAAGTCGCAGTTTTCTGCAATTGAACAAAATATTCACGCTTTGTCACATCGCCTACATATGTTAATATCAGCTCCTAAAGATGCTGTCAATGGACAAAAGTCGCGCTTTATTAAGGCATTCGAGGTCAGTTATCACAGTGCAGCTCAAAATATATATAACGGTATTATGACAAAACGATCTTTTACAGACAATATTCCAGATGAAGCAATGGCATATACAAATTACGATCGTAAAAAGATGCAGTCGGTCATGGCTGGATGTACCGCGCTTCTCATGACAGCCGTGAAGATTAATTTAGCGTATTTGGAGCTCACAAACAGGAAAGCCTCCTATAAAATGGAAAAAACAATATGGGAGGCTAACATCAAGAAAGTCCTACAGAAAGGAAAATGTGTGGATAAGAAAGTTGCTAATGCGTGGGAAACTCAAAAGACGGAAGATTTGAAAATGCTTTCTGCACAGCACAAAGATGATAATCACGCTCAATTTGCAAAACGATTGTACGATTTCTACACGACAAAATTTTACTGGAGGGATTGGGTCGTCATCGTATACAACAAAATGGCTGAATCATGGAAAGGAAATAATGGTCATGGTTTTAAGCTCTGTGGAGGGGATAAATATATTAACAAAGACGGAAGGAATGTTTTAACATCAAGCGTTCCAAAAGAAAAACAGAAGATAAACGTATGGCATTACCAAGGGCAAATGAACCATGTTAGAACTGAAACTGTAGTTTGGGGGGTTCATTATGCTTGGTCTGCACAATCTGTTATTGATCATCTTAATAGGATTAGAGGGTCTGATGTATGCCTGACAGCCACCGTTTCTGACAGAGAGGGCGCTCAGGTCCATAGTGCCCCTGGCCGTTTAGCCTACAAGTGGAAATACTTTTATAACATGTACATCTTCGGCTAAAATGTTTAAGACATATCTTCTTTTATCAAATAAAAACAATGCAATTGACTTTTCTATTTAAGTTTGATAGACAAAATTCAAATATGCTTATATTTGCTCCAAAATTTGCAGCCATGCAATGACATCTGATGGTGTTTCACTTAAAACGAAGGTTTTGTTTTTTAAAAACATTATCATGTTCCACTTTCTATGTTTGTATTTTCCCATATCCCTCTTCAAATTAAAAAAAAACAGAAGAAGAAACACACCTTCACCACAAATTAAACACACCATTAATCTTTATCTTTCATGCGTTAAACGTAAATGGTGTGAAGAAAGAGTTGTGGAAGCTATCTTCTTCCCCATACTATCTGACACAACTATCTGATTTAAAGCATCAATGACATTAATTTGATGTTATACTTTACATCTGATTCATGATAAACTTGATAAAGGAAGTAGAAAACGTGTAATTTAAATGAAATTTATCGCATATTCTGACCCATATTTCGAAATTTACATCAATGACTTCTATTTTTTTTTCTCTTTCATTATTTTTAACTTCTCGATATTTTTGACCGATCAGCACTTTTGTCGTAAAATACGAAAGACGAATAGGGCCACATAAAAAAATATTATTATCTCGTAATTACGAGAAAAGATCTCGTTATAACGAGAAAAGATCTCGTTATTACGAGTTAATTATCTCGTAATTAGGAGAAAAGATCTCGTTATTACGAGTTAATGATCTCGTTATTACGAGAAAGGATCTCGTAATTACGAGAAAAGATCTCGTTTTTACGAGTTAATTTTCTCTTTATAACGAGAAAAGATCTCGTAATTACGAGTTATTTATCTCGTTATAACGAAAAAAGATCTCGTAATTACGAGATAATTATAAATTTATATATTACGAGATAATTAACTCGTAATAACGAGATCTTTTCTCGTACTTACGAGATCTTTTCTCGTTATAACGAGATATTTAACTCGTAATTACGAGATAATTAACTCGTGATAACGAGATCTTTTCTCGTTATTACGATATCTTTTCTCGTAATTACGAGATAATGAACTCGTAATAACGAGATCTTTTCTCGTAATAACGAGATAATTATCTCGTAATAACGAAATCTTTTCTCGTTATTACGAGATCTTTTCTAGTAATAACGAGATAATTATCTCGTAATTACGAGAAAAGATCTCGTAATTACGAGATAAAAATATTTTTTATGTGGCCCTATTCGTCTTTCGTAGTGAAAAGTTTGATACTAGAAATATTTCATTGCCTATTCAGATTTTTTATACCCCATATATTTAACCTTTTCAGTGCTAAAAGGTCACGCAATCATTTTTTCGCATTATTTGTCCGTTTTTGTTGTTCCATGATAAATTTACTCAAATAATTTTACCTTAAATAAGATTATATTTATTGTCATGGATACATTTGATAAAATGAAATAAAGTTTAAGTGATTAACGAAAGAGTTTTAATTTAAGTTCAACTTATTTGTACTGTAGCTCATTAAGATGCACGCTGATAGTCATACTACACACGAGTACATATCTAAAATATACTTCTAAAAAAATCCTTAATAATATAAACTTCACGAGTGGCATACCTTAATTTTACAATAGAATTTTAAGAAACATTGTCTTTAAACTTTGTATAAACACACTTTGAAAAATGTCTTTTTAGGTCACCTGAGTTTACTGTTTTCGTCCGTCGTCGTGCGTCGTTCGTCGTACGTTAACATTTGAACATTTTTAGCTTCTTCACTGAAGCCACTGAACCAATTTCAACCAAATTTGGCATATAGTATCTATGGGTGAAGGGAAACAAAAATTGTGAATTGTGGTCCCTGCCCCCCCCCCCCCCGGGGCCTAGGGGTTGGGGCAAAAACCACTAAAATTAGTGCAATCTTTAAAAATCTTCTTCTTTACTCCGGAACATCAAGCAGTTAAACTGTTGGTATAATTGTAATCAGCATTGAGTTCTCTACCAAAATTGTGAAATTCATGGCCCCAGGGTCAGGGGTTCTTGTGCTAGGGCTGGGCTAAACAGGTTATATAGTGAAAATGCATTATTTCTTTGAAATTCTTCTTTTCTGTTTGTGGGCATTTAATAAACTAACCAAGTGCATAGGTAAGTTGAAAATGACCGCCTTTTCCAAAATTGTGAATTTAATGGCCCCAGGGTCAGGGGTTCTAGTGGTAGGGTGGGGCTATAAAGATTATATAGTGAAAATGCAAAAATTCTTTGAAATGCTTTTTCTCTGTTCGTGGGCATTAAATAAACTAACCAAGTGCATGGCTAAAAATGAGCAAGAATGTCTCTTCCAAAATTGTGAATGTCATGGCTCCAGGGTCAGGGGTTCTAGTGCTAGGGCGGGGCTATATAGATTATATAGTAAAAAATGATTTCTTGAAAATTTTCTTCTTTGCTCCTAATCATGAGTATTAAATAAACTAACCAAGTACATAATTATGTTGAATAAAGCTACCTCTTCCTAAATTGTGAATTTCATGGCCCCCGGGTTGGGGGTTCTAGTGTTTGGGCAGGGCTTTATTGAATATATATTAGTGAAAATGCATAAATTCTTTAAAACTCTTCCTTTCTGCACCTGAGCATTTAACCAATGAACTATGTACATAGTTATGAGGAGGAAGGATGCCTCTTTGAGATTTTTGAATTTCAGGGTCCCTGGTATAGAGATTCTTGTGTGTGGGTGGGGGGTGGGGGGGGGGGGGGCTCTGATGTTTATATAGTGAAAATGCTTGAATTCTTTGAAAATATTTCCCTTTGTTATTTGGTATAATGCCAATGATCTATGTATATATATATGAAAAAAAACCTGCAAAAAACCTGCTTCTTCCAAAAATGGTTAATTTCCTGTCCCCTGGGACAGAGGTACTTTACTTGGGGGTGGGGGGGGTTACAAAGTCTGAAATAATTTAATGCTTTAAAGTTTGCACTTTGGTCAGTGGTTCGTGTGGTATGGGAAGCTCAACTAAGGACCCGCCCTAACAGAAGAAGGCCTGACCCAGGGGCCGGGAAATTTCACTAAAAGTGGAAATGCATTTTCCCTTTGTTACTCTGATCTACCTCTGGGTTTTAAGTAACCAAAATAAGCATGCTGAGTGTATAATTATGATAAGCAATGGTGCCTCTTTCAAAATTGTTAATTTCATGGCCTCTAGTTTAAAACGAATCAAATTCAATTGTTGAAAAGTTGTCGCATGATACTTGGGTGACCTATAAGGCCCATGGGCCTCTTGTTTATTTTGAAAGTACTAGTGCGTTAATTTAGACCAAATTATCAACACTTTGAAAACACGTGTATGCCTTGGTCAACATTAAGTAAATATTATTTGATAAATAATTGAACCTGCTTGTATATTTTTTCTGTGAATTCATGATATGAGAAATAGACGATTTATTATTTTTTTTCGGTAATCATAAACGTTATAAAAGAAAAATGGGTCTTTTTTTTTAATCATTTGAATTTAGTGCATTGATTTTTTTTTCTAAATTCTAACGCACTTAGGGTTTTTTTTCAAAGGGCGTTATGATTTCACAGTACGTTGCCATATGCACCGATGAATTGATTCAATTGATTAATTAAAGTTTCCCAAAAGTATGGTAGTTAAGATAAATTCGTCACAAGCAGTCGATTTTAAGATGTATGAAAACATTTCTTTGTGATTTTTAATTTTGCAATGATCGACGAAGACTAACTTGTATACGCGTATTTAATTTCTTAAAAAGTAAACTAATAATCAAGTATTTTAGAATCTTTAACGCTTATTGTAAGCTGCAGGCTCTGAAAATCAGGAGTTGAATCATAAACGGACCTCCGAAACTTCAGAAGTGGGATCAGGTGCCAGGGAGGAGTGAGCATACCTGCATGCCTTCCAGCCTGTCAAACTCGCCGTGTGATACTTGTCATGATAGGGAAATAACAAAAAAATCAGTCGTCAATTCAGTATATATAATGGACTGACAAATATTATTAAAAACGTCTGTCTGCATTTGACTCAATGATATTTTGCAGTTGCTGACAATTTTATTGTATCGACATCAATCTGTTTATTTACCTCTATTTAGAAATTGTTCAAACGAAGAGCATGCTCTTGCGTATCGATTCAAATGAGAGAGTTGATTTCCTTATGCAGGTGTTGAGGTATACATGTACTACTGCATAAGTAAGGGAAGTTAACGATTGAAAAGTTAAAGTCATCAAATTTTATCGTAGAGTTTGGTTGTTAGATTACTATTTATATCTTTTTCAAGTCAAACATCCAAATATGAAACAGATGTATCAAACTCTTTGGTATCTTTTAACTCAAGATCACCAGGATATATCGTATCAACATAAGATTTTTTTTTAATATGTGTTTTATAAAGAATAGTGGGGTGGGGAAGGGGCACAAGTATCAAGTATCAAATTTTATAGGACCATTTCTCACAGCTTCAAGAACCTTTGATCACGTATAGACGCATAAAATGGAAAAAAAATGAATAAAAATGATTCGATTTCAATCTTTCATTTTTAGACCTCTTAAATTAAATTATAAAGAATGATTCTTTAAAACTCCGTTTTCTCGCCCCTTTTAAGGTCAGACGACACGTTCCTCAAAAATAAATAATTTTTCCTAAGAATTTGCCATTGAAATCTAGGTACTTTAACAAGTTTCTTTACAAAAAATGAGGGTACTTTACCAGACATTTGGACAAGATACCACAGGGTCATATTTCTTATATAACTCTGAAAGGTAATCTTCTGAATTGCCTATATTACAATTTGGGTGTACTTTTATTTAAAATATTTTGAAAACAATGTAGAAATCAGGAGAGAATGACAAATTTAAATTATTTTTTGCATTAAATACCACGAGATTCACAACATATATATTAGGAACGTGTCGTCTGACCTTAAATACATAAATTTATCTTTTCAAATCAGAACTTTGTTATGATAAAACAAAAGTCTTCGTGCAGAATTTGTACTCTTTGATACTCTTAAAAGAGTTTTGGGGAAGAA